CTATGAGACAATTGTTTGGTATAGAGTCTTGTAATTTGTACTGTAAGATCCGTTACTTGTAGCATCTTATTGTTATAATACGTCAAACTGTAGAAAATGAATTGTCGGCTTTTTATACTTGAATTTTGTCTAAGAGTGAAGTAAATAAAATTAGAACTAATTTCACTTCGAATGGCAATTGAAGGAATCATGAGCTTTGTCATCCAGACATATTGAAAGGTTACAGGTAAAGAGATAAGAATGAGTTTCAAAGTTAAGTCACGCTAGCAATGACCACGACGCCTAGTCAATACGGGCGAGTCAATCTCAGTCTACGTAGAATAAAAAAAACTTTCCGATAGTGGAAAATTTCAACCTTTACATCGTATAGTGTGTATATATATTCTGGATATGTGCATGAACTGAAGTATATATTAGAAATGTGTAGATTCCTAGTCTATACAATTACCAATAATTTGTTTTGGTATTTGAAATATGAGCTTACTCATCGTATGTTCAAGGATCACGTCGCGTATTACATACTGCAAATAAAGCTTGACATCGTTTGGCAGTTGAATTACGTAAGTTAATGGTTTGCTCAAGAAAAAATTTTTCCCGTTTTCTATGAAAGATTTTTACGTTTATACGTTTTTTTTTTCTTTTTGGTGGGATAGCAGCGAGCCGCTATAACGGCATAAAATAGGTGTATTTTTGGCAAATTTTGATCATGGGGGGGAAGACCGACCATAGGATATAAAAATATTATATATTTTAATATATTTTAATAAGCTTGCGAGGCGATCTTAATTTTCGAGACTGTGCTGCAAGTGTGAACAAAAGGAAGTAACTCACGCTATTTCCAAAAATATTGATTTTTGCGCGATTGGGGAACATTTGAATGGAATGAATTTTGGACCAAGGAAAGCATTCTCCTTTTTCAATAAATAACATGTGAAAGAACTTAATTACGATTTATCGGGAAGATCTTCACATACTTTGCTTTGGCATGTTAGTTTGAAGATACTGCAACAAATTGATGTGACTGCAGTACTACAGTGTGAAAAGTAAAATGCTGTCCTCCTCACTTTGGTGTCAGGAAGAAAAGACGTGTTTTCTCTCGATGTTTAAAATTATAAGAAAAATTTGTTTCCCATAAATTTGTTCTTCTACTAATTGCAGCAGGTTGAAAGCATCTATTAAATCAATCTAATGGTTTCTTTCATATATTTTTATTCGTTTTCTTTCAAAAAATATTTAACCCTTGGATTTATCAATAGAGGCCCTTTTTCAACTACGCAAAAGCTTGGTTACGAAATCGATCGTTTCGCGACCAAACAATTTCCACATTGCGATCATGGGATGGAGTGGGAACCGCAAGGAAATCTTGTGTAGAATTGTGTCCAATAATAAAGCAAGTATATAAAGCCCCGATATCTCAATCTCTCGATATATCAAGTATAAGCTAATTCCCCACTGATTTGTCAATTAACCGATAAGGAAGCATCGAAAGATGAACGAGTTTCATGCTTCCTACCTTAACTACGATACCTTAGTTCCCAAATCTCTCTCTACAACAGCACGACTATGCCGCAATGCCGTGCTCTACGCTGAAACTCTTAAACGCTACAAAAAATGATTAAAAGGTTTTGCTTACTACTACTACCAATTCTCCGCTGGCCGTACCCCAACTCTTTCTGCGTTCAAGCGTAAACTCGCTGAGAAGGACGGGAATCGACGTATCTTATATAAAGCCGATGTAGATTCAGACAATGTTTTTTTTTTTCTGATATTTTCTTTATTTATTTTTTCATTGTTTGCTTTTCTCTCTTGTACAATAATAAATACTATCTTTTTGATGACATAAAACGTGAAACTTGGTTAGGAGTTCAATATTTCCCGTTTCTCGTTAAATTAACATTTATTTTATATTAATAATTAATAACTCTACTTAACTGCAATATGAATTAATGTCATATGTGTGTGTTTGTTTGCTTGTTTTATTATCATTTTTTTTTTTTTTTGTATTATGTATACATATTTTTTTTTTTTTTTTGTGCATTCAGTGTATACATATTTTTTTTGATATCCATGTTTAATTTCCGTTCTATACGCAGATATCCTTCCGTCATTATAAAACGGAAGCTTTACATTCAGAGTCTGCAGCGTTATTGACAATTTTTAAAACCGCAAATATATTTAAACAAACAACCAGAAATGCAATCATCCTATCTATACATTTCCGTCCCTCGCAACAATGAAACAGCACGATATGTAAAACAAAGCACTCCTGTAAGCAAATGCATATAAATATATATATGTATATATATATATATATATATAGTATAGCGAAATTTCAGTTTAACTTTAAACTGTCCAGTGCATGTGACATAATGGGAAATTACCTTTGTTACGTCAGGGATACCAAGACAATTTTGGAAACAAAGATGCATTTTAGCAACATTGTCTTCAATTTTCGTTACGAGAAATAGATTTTACTTTATATAAATAAATAAAGCAGATTGCTTTTAATGTGATAGTTATTCAGAAAAAAATGCAAGATTACTCTCTCTCGAGAAGAGAGAAATAATGTATCGAATAATTATTTTAACAAAACTCACTTTTCCGATACAAGGGTAATAGATAACGAAACTATGTTTGGCTTATTGACAATCTCTGGCACATTTAGAGCCGTTGCAAGTATTTAAAGCATTATCGTCATCATCGCAGTATGCACCGTAAGTGACATTGATTGTGAAATTTATTCATTTCGGACATTTTGATTGTTAGCAAGCCACGTTACTTTGTTGCCCAGTTACCACTGGTGAGAGTCAACTTGCAATTTGGATTTTTAATGAAAATTGAAATAATCAGTCAGTTGGCTTTCAAAAAATATTTAGAAAGCTTGGTAAATGACTTTCATTCAGAATTTATAATAATATACTTTTGCACCAAGCAACTAGAATAAACATTAAGGCTATCTATACGACGAGCGAACAAAATTGACGAAATTTTGAACGTAAAACTTTTCGTCAGAAAAGCGAATTTAATTAACCTGACTATATTCTGTTAAATAATATTTTTTCCTCACATCTCATAATCGCTTTTTAAAAAAATTTCGGCAAATTTAGTTTTTAAGGAGTTTTAAGAGAAAAACAAACAATTTCCAACTTCCACTATCTTGTCTTCCATGCAAGTCAATGTCATTTCTATTCACGAATTCAGTACGCTTCAAAGCGCGTTCTAGTTTTAATTTATTTATGAGCTATACTTAATTGAATCAATTGTTTTTCTGCAAAATTCGACTTTGCTAACCAACGTAGTCTCCCTGCGGAGGAATGCAATCCGTCCAACTACTTCTCTAACATTGCGTTATCTCCTTTACAGAACGATCTGCGTGGACCTTTAAAACATATGGTTCGGTTTCTAAAATAACCTCATATCATTTCATTCTTCGATCTTTTAACTTGGGGCGTTCACTTGAGATTTGTCAATGGGTAACAATCGCTGTGGATAAGATCTTGAGAATATAATAAATTGGGCAGGACTAAAGAAACTTACATTCATAGAATTGTTACACTATTGTCATCGAATGGCGATACGATGCATTCGCTCCAATGTCAGTAAGCGGATAGTACCGTGTTGGGAGGAGCTTTCTCATGTTAAGATATTTATGCAAAATAGTGAATATTTGCAATTTCTCGGAATTTAATTTTTCGATCATTAACAATTTTGAGGATTTTTGCCGTGCTCTGTAATGTCAGAATATTTTTTAGGCGTCCAATATCTTCTTAAGCGTTATCAATGTGCCATGTGCAACCTTTTTTTGAAATCACTAAACCATTAGGAATCTATTTTTTTTTTTTTTTTTTGTTTTACTACGAAAAAGAGTTGCCATATAATTTTTCTGGCCAATGCTAGCTTTGAATGATATTGTTTCCCATCGAAAAGGTAAAGTTTGATTAGCAGATGAAAATCAAAATTTTCCATTGTTTTGAAAATAACAAAAGCAATGTAACTCAAACCACCGTAACGAGTGATCGGATTGACATAAAATTTCGATAAAAAGAATGTAGATTCTTTGTAAGAATATATATCGGTCCCGTAAGAATGCATATAATATATCAGTCCCGGATATTATTGACCAATGTTTTAATAACAAGTTTCTTTTTCTTAAGCGTTTTAATGATATAATTCGAGTGTGGTCGGCCGAGTGCCTTCGAATGAATTCCAGTGGAAAAGTATGAAATGAATATTTGCTGCAAAAATTTCTTTGCTGCAACATTGCGTGGTAAGATCGAAGAGCAATTGTCGGCAATTTTTTATTCGTTTCACTCATCGCTATGCGGTGATAATAACAATTGCAGCAATACCAGCTGCGCGCAATAAAGGTTTGGGAATGGAGAACATGATGTTGTCTTTTTATTTATTTATCAAAAAAAAAAAAAAAAAAAAGAAAAAGGTTTATGAAAAGCCTTAATTAAATCATCCATTCTCAAAGATGGCTAGATTTTTTTCTACATAATAATAAATATATAAGAATAAAAATCTTTTTGGGTTTTCAATAAAAATTTCTTTTTTATGAACCTATACACATACATGCATACATATGTATAAACATATATAATTGAATAATGTACAATTAAATGATGTACAGAATGAAATAACATGAATATGCTTTCATCACATATCAGGCATACAGTCAAATTAGCAAACGGACAGGCTGCAGGTTAGCAGCTGGCAAAGAGTTACAATCAAACATTACATCCATACAGAGAAAAACATGTCAATATAATGAATAAAGGCCTTTATAATAGCACAACCACAACAAGAGAAAGCAATACTTTCATATGTGGAAATATATGCCTATATATGTATGATATGTGTAGGTACGTGTGTACCTACATGAAGAGCAACCACTTCAAATTGAAGTATATTAATTAAAAAATATTTTTTTTCTTTCACATTTTTTTCTTTTTTTTTTTTTTGTGCTGAAATCTCCCGCTACCACAACTGGCAAAAAGGAAAAGGATTGTTGTGCGAGAGAAAAAAAAGCCAAAAAAAATATGTGAAATGCATTAAGCAACAGTGTGTGCAGTTTGTGTGAGTGCAACGTTCTGAAACCATCCCCGTTCGCCATAAATGCACTTTGCAGGATAATAAAGTCACAAGTGATCAGAAAACTGGTTGAAACCGAACTCTAATCACTCACCGCGGCCTATTCGAAGACAAATGATGTCTTTCAGCAGTCCCACGTAAGCTTTATATCACTTCTAAAATTATGTTTCGCGTGTTTTACGAATTTTTCATTTAATTATTTCATTTATCTATTTATCTATTAATTAATTTAATTTTCTTTAAATCGTCATTTGGCTACCTTTCACTAACAACGTTTATTATAATGTTTCTTAAATGCCGATCCTTAGCATCCTCTTGCTTTACTTTTAATACAACTCTTACTCTTTAACATAGAAAGCGAAAAGTGCTTCCCCTTTGAATGTTTCATTATTATTATTATTATTATTTTTATTTTTTTTCTCATTTTTTTTGGATTTCTTCTGTTAAGTCAAAGCCAGTATGTTTAATATTAACTTGATTTTCTAGAGTTGGCAAAAAATGGCAAACAGCAACAACAATAAAGCAGCACAAAAGCAGAAGTTATCTCAGGCAGCTTTTAATTACATTTTTGTTCTTTTATATACTGGGATTTTTTTATTTTTTATTTTTTTATTTATTTATTTTTTTTTATTTCTTGCGTGCTGTTTTTCAGTGCGGTTGGTTGACTGACTGGCTTGCTGTCACATTTGTTTGCATACATTATATGTAAACGTCACTGATGAATGATTTTCTGTCTACAGCCATCATTAACATCAAGTGCAGTGGTAGCAGCTTCATCAGTAGCATCGACATTATGCTCACACATTAATTTACCTTATGTTTAACGGTATCAAAAAATTTTAGATTGGAAAACTCTCACGTGTATAACAAACACTATTGGCAAGAAATTTATAATCTTTTGCTTATGCTGAATGGACGAATAAAAAAAAAAAAAAAGAAAAGAAAAAAGAATTCTTACAACTTTGAGATTAGAATAAGGATAAAAAGAGTAAATGATTTTATATAAAATTTCGAATATTTTAAAATCATTTTTAATATTTCATATTGATTGGATGACTTGAAAAGTTCACCCAGTATTAATAATCAAATAGTAAAAGTTATTGATGAACTTTGTTTTTATGGGTCGACAGAGGTTTTTCGTCAGTGTGTTTAAAGTGTAGTCTTCCTTACGTTTACTATACTATCCCCAACCATATTCCACCTGATATAGATACAGGATACAGATATAACGATATTCCACCTGATATTGAATCTGTAAAATATTTTGATTTACGACGACTACAACTATTATATTTTTTTAAGTAGAAATTTTTGCTCTGCGTAGTCCTTTCTGTTTTGATAACGCACCATTACTGATGATCGTTTAATTCGTTCATTGCTGAATCAGTTATGTGATTGTTTTCGCTAAACTTTTTCTTTCCTCGGGAGATTTTTGTATTCAAATTTCAGTACCACTATCCCGAAGGTGATCCATTGCAAAACCTTCCCGTTTTCAAGGCAATTTTTACAATGTTGCCCATTTTGAAAACTGAAAACTGATTCTAGTTAACGTTACAGTTTACATTTTGTCCGAATAGTGGTAGATACGTTTTAGTTTATTCAAAACACCCAAAAAGCAATTAAGACAGAATATCGTTAAATATTTTTCAATTTACTTAGTTCAGGGATATTAAGCTGCAGTTACATTATCAGCTGGATTATAAAATTATTAATTTAAAGCTTGTAATCTAAAAAAAAAATTGGAATGAGAAACTTTTAAACTAAATGAAAATATATCTATAATTGTCGTGTATATAAAAAGGATGATAGCATACTCTCAAGCGTGCGTACTAAGATTAATTTGTACTTTTTTACGACTTGATAGCAGTTTGGGAAAATATTTTTTTGGAAAGTTTGCTTAACTCTTCACTTGGGGTAACTGGAATTAATGCTTAAGAATTAGCAAGTAAGAAAATTATTTTCAACTGTGACCGAATATTTTATACTCATCATCACATTCGTAGTAAATTAAAATTTGAAAATATTTACTATTGCCCATAGAATAGACAGACGTTCAAATTTTCATTGTACTCAGGGGGAGTATTTGTTCGTAAGTTTTGTCCTATTTTCAATATCAACAGCCGCTGAAGAATTTCGATTATTTTTACCGATTTTGAGGACGAAAGCTTCATTTTTACTATCAGATATTATACAAATAGATTGACGCACAGATAGGCATGCTCAAATCGTTTCAACATTTAGTGGCGATCAAATATGTATTTACTTTATGGGATCACTGAAATTTCCCTTTGCAGAGTATACAAATTATTATTAATTGAAGAGAGTTAAAATAAATAATTATTTATGCGCATCTGCATGGATTCAATTTGAAGCATATTCGCGATAGAAATGCTAGAATAGATAGACGGGTAATCCTATTTGGTATACATGCCGCGCCATAATCTTAATTACCTGAGCAAAATTGTACATCGAAAAGTACGGATAATGCTCGTTACATTCTTATACGCAGTTTTAAAAGGGTTAAACAATTCATCATTTGCGTATCGTGCTTCGTAAGCATAGAGTTGTGGGAATCTATTTGGTATATTTAAATCAACTTCACTCAACAAGTCTGGTGGCGTAATATCTCCCTTAATCAATTTTAAAAGGAAGCATACATCCAGCATAATTTTTCGCTTGGAAAGAGATGGGAGATTAATAAGCTGTAGTCTGTCTTCATGTGTACGATAGAAGACGACTTAGGGAACCCCATCGTAAGCGCCGAAGTGCAAATAACAGATATTGCGCTTACATTACTTGGTATTGTTGGTGACCAAACAATATATAAATATCCTAACGTAGGCTACACGAGAGCCAAATATAACATAAACTTTTTTTATGGAATTCTACTTATCTTTAGCTTTAGTAGCAATTGATTCAACATCTTTGCCGTAATTCATTTTCGGATCAAATATTACGGATTGCTCTAACATAGATGGAATTTTTACAATAATGTAACCAAAGATTGAGTAGTCGATAGTAATCAATGGCTTCCAAAAACTTTTCCGGTTTTTGGAGATTTGCGATTACATAGTTAATACCACAGCAACCAGCCAATGCCAGTAAAGCTAAACTGTTTGTAGACACTATGCCAGAATGAAATGATCAACTTTAGCTTACCACAAGGGAGGAAGAAGTGCGAAAGAGGTTTAGCACAGCACATTCTAGAATATGTGCTAGGTTGACATCCGAAGAAGACCACGCATTATCTTAATTTCCGACAGTGCAAAGTTCGGAAATATGCCAAATAAGTTATTTTATCAAATGATGAATTGAAAATCTATTGAACAAAGACAATATTAACATACCTCGCATTGCCTTTTGATATTTGCCTGGCAACCCCTCTATTCGTTTCAAGCGCTTCAAAGGTGCTGCAACTCGTAATAACGCGTAGGGTCTGAACGTAAATCGGATTAACGAACACATGTGCATATAAGTGCGTTAATACGCAAAAACTAATTAAGAGTAAGTAAAGTATGATGATTTGTACAGTTAAGCTTAGACATGTGTGAACATATGTGACTTTCTTCATAAAAAGCTAACTGCAAACTACGAAAAGTACATTTTAAATATTTAAACAGACTATAACTGCCTGCAAGAACTTCGAATGGTTTTTCCAGTGCTTAATTTTTACGGCTTCAATTTTTTGGAATTTTATATTACAGACGATGTGGCAGACAGCCAAAGGGACCGACATATATGCTTGAAAAATTATATGCAGAATCTGTTATACCCCATACTGAAGGATGGAAGGATGGAAAAAGCAAGCTTCAGTGATCCCACAGATTATATTAGTTTGGGGAAAAAGAAATCCATTATTTTTATATGAACTTCAGGACTTTATTTAACATGCTTCGGATTGTCCGATTTGCGTCAAATATGCACCGTTTTGTTGTATGATTTGTTGCCATTTTAAAGGAAACTTCAAAATGCCTCTCTCATAGGAGACCTGGTCGCTATTTGCAAAAAACTCTAGTAGTCGATTTTCACAATCCTCCCTAGATTCCAATTTTTTATCATTAAAGAAATTTTGCATGGCAAGAAAAAGATGATAATCGCTTGGTGCCAAGTCCGGACTGTATGGCGGATGCATTAAAACTTCCCAACCAAGCTCCCGAAGTTTCTGGCGAGTCACTGTAGATGTGTGTCGCCTAGCGTTGTCCTGGTGGAACACGACACCTCTCGTGTTGGCCAATTCTGGCCGTTTCTGGTCAATCGCTATCTTCAAACGGTCCAGTTGTTGACAGTAGAGATCAGAATTTAGCGTTTGGCCATATGGAAGCAACTCATAATAAATAATCTCCTTCCAGTCCCACCAAATGCATAGCAAAACCTTCCTGGCCGTTAGTCCTGGTTTGACCACCGTTTGAGGTGCTTCATCGCTCTTTGACCACGATCGTTTTCGCACAGGGTTATCGTATGTGATCCATTTCTCATCTCCAGTCACCATCCGTTTAAGAAATGGGTCTATCTCATTCCGTTTGGCCAATGTTTCGCAGATGGAAATTCGATCCATCTTGTTTTTTTCTGTTAATTGGTGTGGCACCCAAACATCGAGCTTCTTTTTGAATCCAGCTTTGTGTAAATGGTTTAAAACTGTTTTATGGTCGATTTTTAGCTCCTGGGCGATGTTACGACTGCTAACATGCCGGTCAACTTCGATCATTTCTCCGATTTTATCGACATTTTCGACGACCGGCCTACCTGTGCGAGGTGCATCTTTAACATCAAAAATTCTTGAACGGAATCTACGAAACCAAAATTGCACATAATTGGCTGTTACAGTATCGGAACCATAAACACCATTCACAATTTTAGCCGCCTGGCTTGCATTTTCGCCTTTGTCAAAGAAAAACTGTAAAATGTACCGAATTTTCTCTTTATTCACTTCCATTTTTAACACGCTGTAACTCACAACTGAATGCACCAAACAAAAAACAGCAAAAGAATTTTTTTCACTGCGAAATATCACCTTTCCAACGAGCATAAATATGAAATTGTTTGATCGATACTTTACGAGAAATCTATCAGTGCAGCCATCTACCGAAAAAATAATGGATTTCTTTTTCCCCAAACTAATATAAGTTCTTGATTCGAGTCAAACTCGGAATCTTGTGTAGCATGTTCACCGGCCCGTCTATGTAATGTCTGTTTTAAACATTCTCTCTATCAACCACGGACTTATCCGAAATACTAAGGTTCCCGCGCGCAGATGGGTGTTGAAAATTCGCCAAATTGCTTACAGTACGACATAAACTGAAAGCATCTCTGTTTTTCAAAAGCAAAACAAACTGGTTTTTTTCCTTACGACACACAAACTTAAGCAGGTAAACCTATAAAAATTGAAACGTGCACTCTGTGGGCGATGCTACAGTATCTGCACAATAATGGAAAAATAATGATCTAATATATCAAAATATTTGTTTGTCAAAATATTTATAACAGCCAGAAGCAACCTTTAAAAATTTCGTAAATTACGTAAATTCCGCGTCAGTGAGAAATTTTGCGAGAAATGTCTCGCTTTGCTCGTCCAGCACACTTTCCGGGAGAAACACTGGCCGCGTGGGAAATGAAAGCATTTTCCATAAATATATTTGCAACCGCAAACAAATTTAAATACTTTGTTGTATCAGTTCGCTTTCTCTCGTGCACGCCTCGGACTTAATATGAAGCCTTTCTTTAGTGTTTCTTATTTTTTTTTTTTTTTTCTTAGATTTTATTGAAATCTTGGATTAAATGAGTTTGCGATGGAAAACTGTTGGAAAGGCCATCTTAATGATATCAAGTACAATCTTGATATCATAGGATCTAAGAACCCAAAAAAAAAAAAGAAAAGAGGTTTATCTTTCTAGATAATTTTTTGGAAATCATACATAAGTATTTTTTTAGTTTCAT